TCTCGACGAGAACCAACTCGTGTTCGCGATACTAAAAGTGCTCAAATAATCAATTATGCCCTCAAAGCGATAATAATGTACCTTACATGTCGTTACCAAGTACAAACACATACAAGTAATAGTAAAAGGTACCATATAATCCCGTTAACGATCCCCTCCACTATCCCCTAAAAATATTTTATCAATTTGAGAATCACTGTACATTTTGTGCTTACACTTTTTCATAATAGACCTTCTTTTTTATAAAAGAAAAGAGTAAAACAAATGAAATATCGCATTAACTAATTATCTAGAGAATTCTTGATCACCGAATTATCTTCCTGTAGCATGCCCGTGTTTCTTGCGAACAGGAGACACCGATGAATCTGCCGGCTATGAGATCACGATGCTTTCCGCTCTAGCAACACATTATTAGTCGCGTAACGTCCGACTGAAGATCGATATTGCACAGTAAACAATCGTGTACACCTGTTTGTTAACTCTATGTACAAGGATGAAATAATTATAAAGAATGTAATCTATTCTCTATTGTAGAGTAGGCTACTGCTATGGAACAAGTAAGTCTGATTGGTTAAATATTCGTTCGGGACAGTGAAATATGGTACTTTACAGTGTATAAATCATTAGGTGTTACAATGACGAGAATTAGTGACCACACTATCAAAAAAGAGGGTACATTGATCATTCGGGTTATCGTGCCTGATGGTGAGCCTGACTCCCCGCCACCCCTGTCCGAGCAGGCAACACTGACAGACGGAAGTACAACAGAGTAAACACTTCATTCAACTTAAAATTGGAGCAACGATAGACATGATAAATACCAATTAATGTCCCGGCAAAAGCAAGACCGTGCCACCTCCCGTCTTACCCACGTAAGATCAGTGCGCTTGTTAATTAAAATATATCTCAATGGTATAAAACCAGCATTAAAGGGGGACAGTACATAACGGTACGCATGCACTATCTACACATTACTGGTATATCCAAGATACCGATTCGTTCATCATCAAACGACAACAATCCACGCCGCTAATCCAACTTACCTTTGAAACGTCTGCCTCTTCACATAATTGTCTCGTACGAATTCCACTATCTGCTTCTGAGTTTTCCCGCTATACCTGCATTATTTAACATGAATAGAACTTTATTTTTCTTCATTCTTACAAATAACCCTTAAACTGCGAATCACCACCGTCTTCGCGACCGAACGGCGGACTCCGGCTCCATTCCAAACCTTCATTTCATTATTCTGCATTTCAGTATGTGGCTTTTCACTCAAGTATTGCCTTATTGTATTTCTAAATTCTTTATTTTTTATTATCGTTTACTTGCAGAAGTTAATCTTTTTTATTATTATTATTCTTATCTATGACCACAGTGAACACATAAAATACGAATTTTATTTATTCGATGTACATACATTCCATATACATACATATGTATATGGCAATTGTCGTATCTTTTTCTATATTTATTATCGTTTTCATCTTCAATAAGATTTTTCTGAAAACGCTGTTCAACAGTCGTTTCCTTTGCTCAGTCAACTTCGAATAAAAATCGTCCGTTCACTTTTTTGCTAAGTTGTTTTATACTGATTTTCTGACGTACACAATTTTTCTTATCGCTGCATAACGGCTGCAACAGCCTTTGTTTCTAGTGACGTAAACCAGAACTTTACGACTATGTGACATAAACACTGCATGGGTCCAAATGGACCCGGAGTCCGCTGGGCCAGAATTAACGTACACGTTGCGTAGCGTGAAATTTACATACCTGAATGACGAGCCACGACTAAGAACTCGCGTTTTCTGCCGTACTACTCGTTTCACTACCGAACAACGGAAAAATCCATGATTTTCTACACACTTCTTCCAAAAATTTTTACACTCATTACGTCCTTCGAAAAAGAATTCCACGGTATCCTTGTAATAACCCTATAATCATCGTGCAAAACGATCAATTCTTCAAACGATCATTCTTACTGATATTAGTCGCAACACTGATTCAACGAAAAAAATACACTCACAAAACCCTCTGGGTGAAGTTTGATTAAAAATCGTTTCCTCTTGAAGCTGATTTTCCTAATCTTTGCCCAGCTGAACGTATTTATCTTGGTAAAATTTTGAAAGACTACTATTCCCATATGTGCCACTGCCAAATTCAACGGCACACCCTCGTGATCCTTCGCGATAGTAAATCAAATACAACAATTCCGTAAGCCATGCGTGTAACGTGAAAAATTATATATTTTTACGATACTTACTTTTGCCGGGTGCATTTTCATTCCGTACAACTCACAGCGTCGTGCAGTTTCTAGCAGATTCAGATCCGCTTCTGCCGGCGACTGACCTCTGCTTAAAAAACGTAACATTTTTATTTCCAATTCGATTAAAATTTCGTTTCGAACAAAATTAATCAAAAAAACATCTTACGCGTGTTTCTTGTGATTTTCCATAATACGACGTTCTAATTCTTGATCTTGATGAGGCACAAATTTGTAAGTTGACAAATACGTATGGTCTGGATAATCCTCTATCACATAATCTCCACACTCGGCTAAAATAATAATTATCACTCTTTGTCATTAAAGTTTCCCAATTCTCGTTTTTAATAATTAATTGTCAAGTGAATTATCGTTACCCTGAACAATGTAGCTAGCCATCAAAGCTGCCGTATTATCATTGCACTGCAGTAAACCTTGAGCTAAATCACGTTTGATTTGAAGACAAAATAAATATCTTGTAAATTCTTCTTCCAGTTGTGCTGGATCAGGTGTATAAAATTTCACACAGAATCTCAATAAGGGATCTATTAATGATAACCCAACTTGTCTACAAACAGGCTTCTCTAAATCTAACCAGTACTGCAATTAAATAATGTCAATGAGTATAAGATATCTGTACATGGATTTTTTATTAATACACGTATTTATTTCCTCCTTACTTTCGTTCCATTCAGCTCCTGATACTCTAAACCAAAATAGTCAGCTTCCAAAAGATGTAGCTGTTTGCAAACTTGGTCAAACAATACTCTGCCCAAAGCTTTTGCCTAAAATTTCAATGCAACGAAAGTAGTAACCTGTTTAATTATTTTGCCCCAAAAAATCTTGTTTCTTATGTCAATTATCTTCAGGTATAGTGAACACATTAAATTGCTTTCTAAGATAATGAAAACGCTCAGTATAAAGTTTTAATGAATAATCAATACATCAATACATCTACTTCATGCAATATAGTATTAGCAATTATATGCTCCAATTGTTCATTCAAAAGTATTATTCACAGATTTTTTTATTATACAGATTTTTTATTACAAGATCCATCCATGAGCAATTATTTATATACTTAATGGTTATCATTTCTCCTAATTAATATTTCTTCCAATTATCAATAGGAAAAATTATTCTCTGAAATTTGTATATTTACACTAAATTGATTTCTGCTTCTGGTGTTTATTTGTGTTTGTTAAATGTACCATTGTAGCAGTACATTCAATTACTTCCCATTATAAAATTAAACTAATGCATAGATAATACTTGCCCAATCTATACTAATATTTCAAGACATTTTACATTAATGTAGCATAACATAAATTTGGAATAGAAGTTTATTATTTATAATATTTTATATCTTATGAGATAAGTTTCCAATATTATGTTGAAACACCAAAATTATCAACACTACCAATTAACACTGGAACTATTCTATCAAATTATCATCAAATTTACCTGAACTTGAAACATTGTAATTGTATCATCCAACATCTGTACACGAACAGCAAGCATCTTTCCAGCTTTCCTAGGTGTTGTGGGAGGAGTCCTACTGCCTCCATCCACACCTGCCGGAGTCGAATGACTATGAGGCATCTTAGATCCTCCACTGCCCTTCATGCTTATACTTTCTATGTCATTCATCTTCAGTCATCTACTTTGAACTGTAGAATGACTGTGTATATTTTATTTCCGTTTGGAAAATTTGATTTATAATTTTCTATTACATTGTCATCTGTAAAAAACATTAAACACAACCACATTGATCAAAGAATTTACATCTCTTTATCAAGAAGACTAAAAAATTAAAACTGTAGACTAAAACGAATTTATCTTTTGTCTAAATTTAACATCACCGTTAACAACGTACAGTGTGAAGGGTTAAACGGGAAACATTTTCACCTCGAAAGTACACGAAATGTTTTCCATTCGCTTAATTCGAAAACAATGTATATCTATGCAGTTTCGCGAAATCTCGTACAAATTACACTTAATCGCGTAAAAATTTTAAGAAATTACGATAAATTTTGTAGCTGTATTAGGACGGGAAAAATGTATCCGTAAACATTAGAAATAAGTCAGTGAGACGGATTACATAAAGAACGATTAATCGAGTATTTTCTTGTGTTACACGATAAAAATAAAAAAAAATTACATTTGTTTACATCATTCACGATAATACTACGTGCAAAGTGTTACTTATCATACGTCAATCCACTCTCGGAGTGGATCTTAACGAAGAGGCTTGATGATATTACGTCAAAATTATGATTATGCCGATTACACTACTAATCGAACAGTGCTAATGGAATACGTTGAGAGATTGGCTGCGGTCGAAAGGGTTGAAAGTGTTTATTTGTCGATCAATGAATGATCTTGGAATTCAAATAAATACTATAATACCATAAGTTAGTCGCTTCATCAACCATGCTAAGCAATTAAATTTCTAGTATGAAACTAGCAATTCAAATAAGAAATTAATAAATTAACAAATCGTTTGAAGGAAACATTAGAAATTCAAGATTCATGGAGGCATCTTAAGTACGAGAAATGAACTCAAGATCGACTTGAAAAAGGCGGGGCCTAGGATGGTACCCATTTATGGGGAAAGAATTAATCAAACTGCGTTATGAGATAATAGAAAATGTTGCATTCTTTTGTACATACGTCTGCCGGTTTAATAAATACCAGTGGCAGCACACCCCAACATACAGCGACGCAGAGTTCATTGATCACTAAACACTCATGCACCGGCACTCCCGTTGTGGAATCGTTTTCACGATACTTGTGATGTTAATAAGTCATTTACCCCACAACTATCCTCAACATAGATTTCACGAACGTTCTTTCGATATCCTCGAGCAACGACCGACGAAGTCTCCAAATTAAACCACATCACACATCTACGGAGCGCACGTCTCCGCCTTGGCATAAATGATATGTAACGTCAGTGGTTCTCAGCATGCAACAAATTATGAAACTATATTCATTGATAAAGGTATACCACATACGGAGGGCGATGTCTGAACGTGGCGAGCCTCATTCGCGATAAATAAGAAACTCGGATAAATTTTTCAAAAGACACCTTGAACGACTTGAGTCCGATAGACGACTAACTACTGATGTTGGTCATATAGCGCGCGATGCACTCCAAGGGCGGAGCCACGCGAAAAGACAGAAACAGCGACATCCACGAGAAAATTCGAGAACTCAAATCGCTCGAAAACAACTTCAATCTGCCATAAATACAACAATCGTATCAGTTTTACATTATTTTTTAATCATTATATTGATACTTTGGTAATTAAAAAGGAAATTTCTTTCAATTCTACACGTTTGTTCGTATTTACCTTTTTCTTATTCGTATCTCCGACAGATACGACGTAACTCCGAAAGGGAAAGTAAGGCTGTGCCTTGCTTTTGCGCACAGCTGTATCCTCTTGTTTCTACGCATCGTAAGATGGCGCTACATATCTAAACGTCATGAGAACTGTCAATTCTCATATCTACAAATCCGAACCGCAAATGTCAAAGCAACAGAAGTAAACAGTGTACCTAGTTTTCTGTACCTTTACCTCGTGTGAACGGTGAGCGTTGTATATATAATACGTGTACAAACTAATCGCGAGGATCCGTGTAAACAATTCAGAAAATTCAGATATGCTAATGTTTTTACCAATTTTATTTGAAAAAATCATAAGATTAAACGGTTTAAAGCTATTATATGTAGTAATTGAAGTGATCATGGTTAATTTATTTGCATCTTGATGGAAATTCAATTTTTTGTTTATTCATGTTTCAGGATATAAAAGCAGTTTCTTTCATGTGATTTTTGTGTACTTGTTATACTACAGGAAAATGTCAGACGAAGAAGATACAGCAATATTATTAAATAGTGCAAACAAAACTATTGAAACATCTATAAATAAAGTTCCAAATGAAGAATATCAATGTATACCACAAAAAAATCTAAGGAAACCGCTTCCAAAGCCAAATGACAACTTAACTCCTTTAACATCAGGAAATAAAAATATTTGTGTTTCCATGGTGGCAATTTTGGCAGGCATTGCTTTTGGATGTGATATGGGTATTGCAAAACCTATAGCCCCTTTGATTAAAAATGAATTCAACTTAAATTGTTTCGAGAAGGATTTTGTTATAAGTATTTGGTTTATTGGAGCCCTTATTGGTGGTTTAACTGGTGGTGCGTGTAGAATACATACCAAAAGATAAAAGTATAACAATGAGAAAAGGATAGTACTAATGATGCAATACATTTATAGGCTTTCTAATCGATTCGTTTGGTCGGCGTTGGACAATGATATCGACGCTAGTTTTTCTAACTTTTGGAGCTACATTATCAGCACTAGCGAATCATTACATTTTGTTGCTTGTTGCGCGAATAATTTGTGGGTATTCTGGATCTGTTTCGGCAGTAGCTCACTGCATATACATGGCGGAAGTATCCGACTCAAATAAACGTGGATATAATATAATGTTATATCAATTGGGAACAGCTACTGGATTTTTAGTTTCCATTATTGCTGCTGCTATTAAAAATATAGACTATCAATGGCGATTTTCCATTGGTATAACAGCCGTCCCCGCTTTGGCTGCTTGCATCATTACCATTATATTTCTTCAACGTTCCCCACCATTCTTACTTTATAAAAGGATGGCAAACGTTTCGAAAACATCATCGAAAAAAGCTTGGTATACGATTTTTGAAACACTAACGATCATGGCTTTCTTATTGATACTGCAACAGGGTACTGGTAAACGGCAAGTCTTGTATTACGCACCGAGACTGTTTGCATTATTAGGCATTTGTTCCAGTAAGTTGATTGAAATCAAATTGTTTTTACGCAAGAAAATGCCTTTTATATGTGATTAATTTCACAGACGTTGCCGAAGTCACAGCTTTAATATCGCTAGGCATCGTGAAGGTTTTTAGTACGATGTTATCCTTGATCATAGTGGAAAGATGCGGACGTCGAACAGCTCTAATTACATCAGCGACTATCTGTATGACGACAATATCATTATTATCTTTGCTCGCTACGACAGATAGAGGCGATGACAATTTAGATATCGTAAATACTCATTGCAAAAATCATCATAACGAAGAAGCTAAAATTCACAACGCTTTACCTACTGGATCTCCACCGCCGTTCCCCTTGCTGCCAACTCCGTTAGCTATAATTGCTCCCAGTCCAGAAACATGGACGCAAATTAAAGCATCTTGCGAAGTATATTCTTCTTAATTATCATGTTTATGAATATTAACAAAAATCACTTTAACAATTCCAATTTTATTACAGACACAGAATATTATTGTCTCTGAGGGTCTCACAGGTGGTTTACGTATTTTAGCAGTAATAACGTTACTTGTGTACGAAGCAGCGTATGCTTTAGGACTTGGACCAGTACCACTATTAAATCTTACAGAAGTTTTTCCTGCTGCTGTACGAGGAAAATGCATCAGTTTTGTTTCCATCGTAATATGGATAACGCATATTATCGCCACGGAATCTGTCAGTGCAATGGCCAGTAAGTTCTCTTTAGTCATTTATTTACTTATTTTTCTATCGATACGTGTGTATATACATTTATATCTCCTTTCAGAATCATTAACCTTAGCTGGATCGTATCTATTTTATAGTTTTATGTGTCTGATTACAATATTTTACGTCTTCTTATTTATTCCCGAAACAAAAGGTAAGTCTTTGCATCAAGTTGCTCAAGAGTTACAGAAAAGTCCTCTCGGAATACGTATATGTAATAATTTGCGTAGTTTACCTCTTATTTGTCATATCCAATGGATAAAAAGGTATGACGAAAATGTAAGTAATGGGCAAAGTACTTTAATTTGAAAGTAAAATCTTCAGTATTGATATATAATTCTAAATATACATATGTAATTCAGCATGTCTACAAAAACATTCGAAATCCTACTAATTTCATTTCGTTTTGACTGGATGAACTCAGAATTGTTAAGAAAAATTTGGTATTGTGTTCAATATGCATTATATGTAAGTAATATATACACACGTGCATTTAACAAAATTTCCTTAACTGCCGATTATTACAGTACATATCACACAGACGTAATAGGAAACGTCAAAATATGTAATCCAGTTTCGAAAGACTGACTAGATTTTTAATTTCATGTGTTCATCTTCTTTCAAGTTATGAAATAAATTATTGTGATAGATTATTCATTTTTATTTTAAGCAATGATACGTTACATGATGCACTCACTTCTATAAAAAATTTTTATTGAGAACATGTGATTAGAAATCAAGTATTAGGTAAACGATAATAAATTAGACATTTTATAGTATAGTAGCAAATTAAATTACGTTTATATATGCATACTTTAGGAATTTAAGTAAAGAAATATATGTTATACGTTACGGTTGCTGCGAGTTCGTAATAAAAATAGCATTATTTTTTTTATTGTAATTACGCTACGCGTATAGAACTCTTTAAATATCTATATTTATCACATTATTCATTTGAATACTCATTGCAATTTCTCTAGAAATAATAATGATGTGCAATGTTCTTCGGTGCCATTTAAAGTAAACGTTACAATGTAAAAAGTCTTTTATTATACATAACATTGCTGTATATAAAAATAATTTTCATATGTATAATTATTGCAGATTTACAATATTGTATAATGTAATATTGTACTTAGCAACAATGCAGTTGGTTTACGTACTTAATAAAATCGATAGAAAATATAACGTGTTCTTTTCTTTTTGTTTCTTACATATAAAAATAATATTACTCCTAAGTAATTTTTTGTCTATCTTTTCTTTTTTAATAATTTCATTACTTGTGTTATTCTCTCGCCTTATACGTTTGCATATTTCACACATTTCTTCTTAAATTCGATTTTTAAAGTACATATACATAAATGTATGTACATATACTAAGAAAAAAATACATTATAACAATGAAATCACAATAGCAATCTTATTTTTGGAATCATTACAAAGTTATTACAATATCATTCAATAACATTATCCTTCCTTATATTTTTTATAATTTCTTTATAGTACATCCACCAAAAGACTTTCTCTTATTCCAAGTCAAAAGTTTCGGAGGTGATAAACCCTGTTCCAAAAATATATGCCTCCTTTCCTTCAAATTTAAGTCACTATTGCATAAAGACTCATCGTTCTCGTATGAAATAAAATCGGTACTTTCTCGATTCGAGTGAGCTCTATCTACGTTTAAAGCATGATTTGCGTGATTAACTTTAAACGGTGCGATAGGAGCTAAATTCTCTTTATCGTGTTTCGTACAGTCCGACGATTTCTTCAAAATTACCGAGACATTTTTCTTTGTCGTATCCAATTCGGGGGAAACGGATGATTGTTGAATTTGAATCGCGTTAGTCGGAGTTACGACGTAAACTAATTGCGACTTTGATTCGAATTTCTCTTTCAATAGAGAAAATTTTCGTTTCGGGTAATTGATAACTTTTTTACGTTTATCGCAAAGCTGTTTTGATTGTTCCGCATCAGGATCGAAATTCGACTTTATCGATTGCGCGGAAATATTTAGCATGGTATTAACGTCCGTAACATTTGAAGATATAACCTCGGATAAATCATTATGTACAACTGTAACATTTTCCGTAACAGGTACCAAAGGACTCATTTCAACGTACAGATCATTTTCCTTTGAATTCGATATCGATTCGTCGTCTTTCCAATACGCGACAGAGACCTGTTTCTGTAACTTCGTTTTGTTACATAAAATCGGAGAATCAAACAGTATCCCATCTATCAAGGGTGTCGACGTCTTCTTCTTCTTAATCGATTCTATCGTACAGTACTTTACTAAATCTTTGATCGAGTCCGACTCGTCCAAGCAATTGATATAATTTCTGTTATACGTGGCAGCGTCGTTGAATAACGTTTTAGTCAGTTGGGCTTTCTTTATGAAGCTTTTCGGATGAAAATCTTCCCACTGACTACCCGTCGTATGATACACATGCCTTGGAGAATTTTCGGCCGTGTATTTCCTAATTTGATCTATCGTGCTAACTAATGTACTAACCGAACCACAACCAGATCGATTATATTTGAATTTTTCCTCACCAAAAATTTCATCGTGCTCCTCTAAGATCGTATCCAGCGCGAACATTCCACCTTTGTCGTCTATTACCACCGGTTTAGCAATATACAACGTGGAATTTTGTTCGTCGATATCAGAGATTCTTTTCGTAGACGACGGATACTCGTTGTACGTCATTTTCAATTCTCGAGAGTCAATTAAATCGTACGTAAGGGTGTCGATATAATCGTCTTGCTTGAAAATTCCTCTCAATATCGAACTGGCGCATGTTGTGTCGGAAAACTCCGAGCTGTAAGTAGTACCGGTAGTTGTGCTCGTTAAAGTATCTCTTCTCCTATCTCTGACAACACTATCGTCATGTATATAAGTTTCTATGTCGGTATATCCTTTCCAGCTACGAATACACCACGGTGGTCTAGCCACGCCAAGAGGGCAAACGTTCTCATAATCGTGGATCGATGTAACGCAACTCATCGTTTCATCCCTCTGTTGTTGTAACTCCTTCGTTAGTTTCTCCGTATCCGGGATTTTCTCACAAGTATCATTAAAGATCGGAGTTTTCAGTCTATCCCTTAACATCGTAATACCGTTCAATTCGTCACAAATATTAACGATGAGACCCCCCTCTAATTGCTCATGTTTTTTCGCACTCGCATCCGTAACCTTTTCTTGCCCTTCGTTCTCCATTTCAAGAATAAGTTGATTCGAGAAACAAATACCTCGTCTTTTTTGCAAAGGAAGACAAGAGTTTGATGATTCTTTCGTTAATTGAACATCTTTATCTATGTCTAACCCATGAGTTATCGGCAAACAGATACCTCTACGTTTCTGACAATGAATATCTTTTTCGCTAGAATCATTACAATCACTTTGAACTTCCAGATATTCGCAGGTATTATCAGCCATGGGGAATGTAGTTTTCGATAGAAAGTTCGAAGACATGGTTTCATCTTTTGAAAAATTCTTACGCGCCGACTCGGACGACTCCGATACAACGCAAATGGCAGTCTGTGGTTCGTTTTCAGTTTTATAACTCTGATTAGTAACACCATTTTCCGTACATTCTGAGTTCTGTACGATGTTCGTTAATAAAAATTGTTTGTCTGTGGTGATTTCCTCAGAGTTAGCCCCTTGAGAATGATCAACGGAACAGGACGACAGGGCGAATGAATTGGGATAATACTGTTTGAAAGACCTGGGAGTGACAGCTTTGTTGGCCACGATATTGGGCCTTTTCTCACTCTTGATAGACATACTACTTCCGACTTTGGACGGATGAAATTTTCCATAATAAAACAACATACTCATCAAACCGATCATCATCCCTCCGATGATTAAACTCGTCATTATCGTTATTTCCTCGGCTTTTATCACATCTTTAAAACACAATACGTAAACGACTAAAAATACTATGTTCTCTATTACAATTATAGAATAAAAGATAAGTACTCTGTACCGGGATTTGCCTACGCGTAAATTAAAAAAGTCGAAACAATAAATAAATCCTATAATACAATTATAAATACGTTCTTCCCATATGGTGGGACAAAAATCTGTGTTCTGGAGGATTACCCAAATAGTCATAAGCAACCAGTGGAGTCCTGTAACATTCAGAGTGGAACGTACGCTGCATGAAAGGCATAAATCTATTTTGAGCAATTCTGTCTGCACTCTCTCACACTTACCAAGAAACAATAAAGACCATTCTCTCAAACAGATTGCGGTTAAAACCAAAACAGCTATTCTGGATATTAGCATTCCAGCTCGCCAAAGACCCTGAAGAGTTAGTACTACCCATGTTGTTTCATTATAACCAGGATTTATTTTGTGCATGGCTTTTGTATATGTACCTACAGCCCAGCTCAATGAACAAAAGGAGACTATGGCGGATAAACCTGTTTGATTATTCATATAAAAATATATTAGATCTTATTAGAGTTTCTTGACTTTAAAGATATCTATCATTCACATTCATTGAAAACCTTTGGTCAGTGACAGTGACAGTGGAAGCCATTCTATTTTTAGCACTTCAAACATCCACCCTACTGGGAGAAGAGAACATTATTTTTAAAGTTACAGTGCTGTAAGCTTTCCAAATAGAATACCTAGATAGCAGCTGTACAATTGGGTTCCAAAGAAAAAGCATACAACATTATAGAGGAAGATAAAGTACTGTCAATGATATCTATATCCCTGCCTCTCTTATCTATGGGGGCCGGTCAAAGGAAGTGAAAATATGTTGTCATTCAATTCCAGTTTCCCTTCAAATTCTTCAAATTATCCTACCTCTATGACAAAAGTATTATTATCTTTAAAAATTCTATTCTACACATACAAATTTTAATGTCATGCAATAATGTATTCATATTTGTTGTGAAAGTGAAGTGTTTGCATATTTTTGTTAACATGTTCTCAGGAATACAAGTAAGTCCTTTACTATATATATTTTATATATATTAATTTACTCTAAATGTATACTGTTTCTTTACAGAGGCAACTTGTGTTATTGAAGTTAGTTATGATATTTGCTATAATATTTATGTCATTTATACTATTACTGAGTTTGCTGTGCAACTCGTGTTTACACACAAGCAAATATATACAGACTGCAAGTTACATTAGTAATGAATATTATAAGCATAATAATCCATTGAACAATAAGTCTGGTACAACCGCGTTTTCAATAGAAGAAATGGAAAACATAAGAATACAATTGAATACTAGAAAAAGTGAATTAGAACAATACTGTCAAGTCATTGCCAGAACAGGTTCAAACTTAGATAATGTATTATCAAACATGATTATTGATACGTAAGCACCAAAAAATCTACTACATTTAAGTAATTTGTCAAATGTAAACTTATGGAAGTTTGTATTATACAGAACACATGAAATATCGTGGTGTCCTATATATAAAGCAGCAAGTTCTACTTGGATGAAGCAATTTGCAACACTTGGAGGTGTTTTAACAGAATCAGCTATGGAACTGATTCGCAAAAACATTTTGCAGATTAACACCATTGTTAGAAAAGCATTCCCACGTGATCGAGACATTAAAAAAGCATTCCAAGTATGTAATGGGGAAAGAGCATAGGGAGTAACAAATATAGTATATGATTACTTTAATGCAAATCATTTATATTGCAGAAGTTAAATAGAACAAAAAAATTTCTGATTGTGCGTCATCCGTTTGAACGTCTTGTATCAGCATACAGGGACAAATTAGAACATATAGAAGGGAGAGATTATTATTATAAAAGATTTGGACGTCATATTGCGCACAAATATCACCGATTTAGAAAATTAAATGAAACAAAACTGGAACCTACATTTACAGAATTCCTTCGATTCATAGTAGAAGAAAAATACTTTGACGAACATTGGGCACCATTTATTGATACTTGTGAACCCTGTTTAATTAAATACAATTACATTTTAAAATTTGATACGTTTGATAGAGATCAAAAGTTCCTAATACAAGAATTAGGTTTAAATGAATATCTGTATGAAAAAAATGATTTGAAAAATATAAATCCACGTGGAGTCACAACTACTGCTTTAGTTAAAGAATATATGCAAAATGTTCCTAGGTCATTGCTTGATAAAATTAACAAAGTTTATGAAAATGATTTTAAACTTTTCTCCTATTTACCCATATAACATCTTGAAATACTTAGAGATAACACAGTAGGAACATAAATGTGATAAACAGCTGCTTTTAATACTTGTTCGTTTAACTTAAACAATAATAATCTCTACCACAGTGTTAACAGCTTCCAACTTTTTTTAAGTGAGTTAACTATTTTTATTGTCCTTACTTGTCCATAGTGGTGTACGACGTAATACTGCCATGACATATAGTTGCAAGATTAATTGTGGAGCAGCCCCCATAAATGACTCAAATAAATGCAACATACATATATCACTTTCCTGTCTATATACCCAATTTTTATCCTTCACAAAACGTTTCTTCCTTAATGAATATATTGTAGCATAAAGTAAAATTAAATACCTAAAAATAAAATTATTTTCTCTATCAGAAGAAACAGAAGAACTAATTGCAATCCAATAGAAACAAATTTAAAGTAATACCTGTGCAGTACTCCTAAAAATAAAAAATGTAACAACCAATGTATATTTTTAATAGAACCATCGCTGTGATACCATCTCAAACTAAACATTTGAATGACACTTGCAGGTAAAATTGTAGAACTCAAAGCAAAGCATCCCCAAATAAACTGGCCTTGTAAAAAGTATTCCATAAATACAATACTATCTATAACAAAAATGGTATATCATAACTTACGTGATTTTTATATGTATTTAATAAGTTAAATATTATATTTTCATTTCATTATTACAAAAGGAATAGTTTCATCTCATTATTTATGCTCTTCATTTATATAAAAACTCAGAAAACAAAGTTTTAATTACCATACAACATGACTTTAAAAGAGATCTTTTTATAAAAGCCTACATCTGTTATATACTACTATATTAAATATTAATAAAATATCATAAAAATCATGTATATTTTTAATGTGTAAGCTCTATATACAAACATAATTGTTATTATGTTGCAAAGAAAATATAAATAATTTGATTAACATTATAGGAATTCTGATATTCCACTTTTATATGCAGAATATGTTAAATATACATTGATTTATCAATTAATCGTTACTCTCATTAAAGCATGTTCTTTAATACACTTTATTCTTTTTCATTAAAAGAAAGTCGTTTCTTTACAAGGAAAATATAATACACTTCTATTCTTTATTCACCTGTTGCTATATCGATGAAAAAAAAACTGACAGAAGTCAAGTAGTAAAATAAGTCTAATAATCTGAATTGATAACATTCTATTTCTCTGTGCAATGTTATTGTCGATACATTTCTTTTCACAGTTTCATAACACGAAACATTTCCATGTTTTAACTCTGCCGCCGCCATCTTCCCGGCCATTCTCAATTTAATTTTACGCAACAGATGAAAGGACGCGTTCCGAAATCAACTGCATACTTTCCACTTTCCTCATTATTTCAAATCTTTTTAATATAAATTTCATATATTAATTTTTTCATCCAACGTAAAGTATTTCTTTAAAACAAAAAATTATAAATCAATATATCTCAGGAAAAAGTCAAACAAATTACAAAGAAATGTCAGTCTCAACTACCGCCATTATTAAAGATTAAAACCAACTTCGGTTGGAATCTTCATTTTTGAATAATTGCCTCGATCGTGAAAATTTCACGTATCTAATATACATTGCGGCACCTACTATAAAATATAAATTAAATTCAGCAAATAATATCATCCTAACCTCTTTTTTTTCACCACTTTTTTTATGTAATCAACTGTATGATTTTTTATTTATTATGTTCTTAAGTATTCATTTCGATGCAACGTTGTATTTATTTTTAAACATTTGCAAAAAAAAATTAAGTAACATGAATACAGTATAAATTACATGTTTATTTATTTATTCGATATAAATATTAATTAGTTGTTAATTTATCATTTCTAAAAAAAAGAATTGTACGCACAAACTTGTTTCGAATTATCGAATGAAAATCACGAACAATATGTTTAGATATATATGTGTATACCTAACTCACCACGTACTTTATATATATGCATACGCAAGCGCATTATATACATAGTAAAACATTCGTTTTTCAACATGACGATGAAATAAAATATGGCGAGTATTTGATGACTAGACTAGACGTATACGTATGATCTGGTATTAACAGCTAGTTGTTTTTGTTAATATACTATCGAAGTAAACGTATGTCTAGGAATATGCCCACAATTCAATCTTCAACGTAAATTGTACCGAAATATAAGTCGAAAAAAGTAGTAGTTCTTATAATAGTTAACCTTTTAGACGAAAAAAATTCGACTCTCCACAGAAGTAAATTAAAATTTAAAATAAAATCAACTATGCCATTAATTTTGCAAACACGTTAAGTGTTTTCAAGAATGCAAAGATAAACATCAAAATATTTACGAGACTTTTCAGTTACTGAGAAATGATACTTTTCTGGGACATATTTGTTTGAAATATATTAGTAAAGTTTATGAATTATGAGTTAAAGCTATTATTATTAACCTTCCCACACGGTAAGTACTTAAAAATATAGCTTGCTTTTAAATATATTAATTTAATTATAAAGCAGGTAGTATTAATTGTATTGTTATTTTTTTTTTAAGGAAGAGATATGGATGTTGTGTTATTAAAAAGAAAGCGATACATCATGTATAGTTTTGAAGGAGATTATAGACGTAAACCACAACAAAATTTAGCAGGTGCAAGTAGAAGAGATGAAAAGTCAGTTTTATTGCAGCATGCTCAATTAGAACGTTTAAAACGAGAACACCACCGTAAAAGACACAATGCAGCATTGAAAATTCAGGCACTTGTACGTGGCTTTATTGTGAGGAAGCATATGAAGATAACTATAAGAAAAGAATTTGATGAAGGACAACAAATTAGTGGCAGAAGAAATCTGAACCTAGATGAATTAATGATATATTTTCAAAAATTATTATTCTTTTATAATCACAATTTGGATGCTAGCAGATTAGTTTGGACACTTCAACATTTTCTGAAACATCAACAAGAAATTCAACAGAAATGCGTAAATTGTCAAGAATGGTTATGGAGACTAAGGTAAGCTCTAGAGGAAATAGAACAATACAATGTTATTGTTCCACATTTGGTAATATAAATGAAATGTATAATATCCACAGATGGATTCTTCGCATGTGCATGCAACACAATTCTGAAGCTTTAATGAATGGAACTTATTCATTGGCTATACCATTGAGAGCACTAGAGACATTTACAAGTCGAAAAGATACAGAAAAAATTTTATTTGAAAATAGTTACAAATATTTAGAAAACATCTTTGCTTACTTGATAAAGCACAAATATTTTGATCTATTAAGGAAATTAATAGATAATAAAGTCCCATCTATGTTGGAAACAACTTCTGTTGCACCAACTCCAATATCAAAGTGTTTAGAGGATATGATTAAACAACCATTAGAGTTAATTTCTTTTCTAGAACAAGAAGACAATTTCTCTATGCTCGTTTTACAAGAACTTTGCAAAAGTATACTATCCCCAAAAATGTCTGACCCTATTCGAATGTTTATCATTCCATCATTATCCGAATTTATAGAATTTCCGTATACTCAACTAATTAAATGTATCAATACAATGGAAATAGAACCTACAATTAGTTTGCTCTATTCTGTTTTATTTTTGGAATCAAGTCGACATGGTGAGTGTATAATTTAATATCTGACATGAATTAATTAATGATATTATTAGCTAAGGAAAGTTTTCTTTTCATTACAGCTACATGCAAATCTAAAGATGTTCTCATTAGTTACTTACAAGTTCTTGCACCTATGAGTTCAACGATAATACCGTTGACCATAGAAGAGAACATAGAACAAGCGGATGATTCGGATTCGGAATCAAATGCAAATATGATCGATCAAGAGCAAGCTGATATTTTACATAAATGCATAGAAATGCTGAATGAACAGCAACGTGTTCAGGGAATACTCCTGGCGGTGGATCGAAGCAAAGATCCAGCTGTATTGCAACCGTTGTGCCAACTCTGTCACCATCTTTTAATCACCAACAAATTAGCCATTCATAAATATAAATTGTTATATATGCTTGCTTTTAAGCCAGCATTTTTAAAGAATTTATGGACCACTCTATTATCAATTTGTCAAATATCATTATTTGGTGGATCAACGCCTTTTCTACAAATCATATCACGGGGAATTAGTCTTTCTGCCGAGGACACGAAAAAAATAGTTCCACTGTTAGCCGTATTTTGTTCGTTGTTTAGTCTACTTATTGCTACGTTACACGACACCGAATTTTTTATCCCAGCAATCGAACAATCATTAGACACAAACGGACAACAAGCGATGCCATTTACAACCTCAGAATTAGTATTGCTATCGAGCCACTTGAAAGGCGTTTGCTTAGGTTTGGTCGAACTTGCGTTCCCCGATAGCCGACCGACCGTACGAGACGATTATAAGAATGCTGTTCTTGACCCCTCGTGTTCTCTACAAAATCAGCAGGATACGCATATGTGGACTCACTTGTTCAAAGTAACAGCCGGTTTATTACGACAATTACATGTGCGGGACTTGAGACGACAATTTTGTCCAGAGGGGCACTGGATAGCTTCGAACATCGTAATACCAATCGACAAGCCTCAAGATTTCACATTTCGCAGACGAAGATTAAGGGGATACATTCCCTTCCAGGGACTTCGAGTATTTACTCGTGAAGGGCTTGAAGAAGGACCGCCGCTTTCTGCGAAGGAAGTTCGAACGTTGACGCTCCTTCGTGAAATACCATTTGTCGTACCGTTTAACGATCGCGTGGTGGTATTTCAAACGTTGATTTTTCGAGACAAAACGGAACAGCAAGGTGAATTGACGCACTTCATGCAAGGACCATCGATACAAATATCGGTAAGAAGAAACTATTTGTACGAGGACGCGTTTGAGAAATTATCACCGGAAAACGAGCCAGAATTACGATTAAAAATGCGCGTACAGCTTTTTAATACAGCTGGTTTAGAAGAAGCTGGTGTAGACGGTGGTGGTCTGTTCAGAGAATTTTTATCAGAATTATTAAAAACGAGCTTCGACCCTAACAGAGGCTTTTTCAGGCTCACCAAGGATAACATGCTGTATCCGAATCCCACAGTACAATTATTGGTTGACGATTTCCCAAAGCATTATTATTTTATCGGTAGAATTCTTGGGAAAGCTTTGTACGAGAATTTATTAGTCGAACTTCCGTTCGCTGAATTTTTTCTATCAAAAATCGTTGGCCGTCAATCGGATGTTGACGTTCATCATTTAGCTTCATTAGATCCAATTATGTATAGGAATCTTTTATACCTAAAAAGCTACAAAAGCGATGTTACGGATCTTGGTTTGGACTTCACCGTATTGTCGAACGAGCTAGGTGAACGTCGAATTGACGAATTAAAACCAGGTGGTGGCAATATTTCCGTCACCAATCACAATCGTATCGAATATATTCATTTGATGGCCGATTATAAATTGAATAAGCAGATTAGAGCGCAGTGTTATGCTTTCAAGCAAGGTATCGGTAGTGTAATTCCCTTGGACTGGCTCCAAATGTTCAATAACAAAGAGCTGCAAGTTTTGATATCGGGTGCACAGATTCCTGTCGACGTGAATGACTTAAAATTACACACTAACTACACAGGAGGATATGCCGCCGATCATCCGACAATCACTGCATTTTGGAAAGTTGTTAATGAGTTTAACGATAATCAAAAGGGACAGTTACTTAAGTTCGTTACGAGCTGTAGTCGACCGCCTTTACTTGGATTTAAGGTATACTATAAACCAGTACATTTCTTTTTCTCTAATTAATTACC